CCATTCCAAAAGATGCGTTCCAGCAGTGTTTCCAGCAATGGCAGGAACGCTGGGAGAAGTGTATACATTACCAAGGAGACTACTTTGAAGGGGATTAGGGTTTTGTACCTCAAAGTCAATAAATTTATTTTTGCCGACCAAAGGTCCGATACTTTTTGAACAGACCTTGTATATATATATAGATTACAGTATACCACCTATTCAATGCAGTCTAATGGGATACATAACAGTTCAAATGCAGCCAAATTTTGTATGCTGACATTTTAGGACATGCAGAAAAGATTTCCACAAAACCAAAAAATTTAGTTTCAGAACTCAGAATGGAAGTGGATGCTCAGTCATGGGAGGTCTTGTGAACTGATTAGGCATGTTTACCTCAATGGCACAATGAACACACACAACTGTCACATTTGGACTTCCTATATCTATATTTTATATTTTCTAATAACTCTTCATTGAATGCTTCATATCAAGTGTGTATACTTTAAAAGATGTTTATGAAGTGCATATAAAAAAAATCAGGAAACTTAGTATCAAAATTTTATGATAACCTGTGTATATAATTACACATATATATAGATATAAAAAATATTTTACATTTCACATATTTAATTGATTTGTTGTATGATTCTCTAATACTTTAAGTGTTATGCATAAATTGTTACGTTTGGTGCATTTCAAACATTTTTGCTAGGAAAATGATACCCACTACCTCATAATTTCTTAATGTATATAAAACAATTTCTCAAAAATATTTTGAACTTTTAATATTTTATTGAATTGAACAGTGTTTTCCAAAGTGGGCTCTGCAAATCTTTTAAAACATTTTTAAAGTTAGTTATAAAATAAACAAATAATGCATTTGATTCATTATTTTTAAGTGAGTAATTATTTATTTGAATTGGCAATACACCTCAACATGATGCATGATAAGGGCCATTTGCCCTTATCGTGTATCATGCATACAACTGACATTTCATTGAATGATTATTAATGCTTTTTTTATTATTTTTCTGTCAATTGTACAAATGTATAGCAAAAAATGCTGAGGAATTGTGAGGGATCTGCAAAACAATTTTCTTTGCTGAAGGGCTTTACTTTATCAAGTTTGGAAGTTTAGAGAACAACACAATATTTTATGAATTTTCAAACAGCACATTATCTTATCTAAATGTAGGCAAGAAAACTCATTTACTAAAAAGTTTCTAGTTGAATGGTATGAGTTGAAAATACAGTAGAGCGTTGTTTATCCGAAAGCCGGTTATCCAAAACGTTGGTTAACCGAAAGCATTCCAGTCAGCAAATTTAAATTTTCGCTAGTGCTGTGGCGCTGCAATCTTTGGCTATATCTTGGGCTACTCCAATATTTTTTTTGTTGGTGTGCGTGTTTTAGAACCTTTAATCCATCTAGTCATAATATATAAAAATTTCAATCTTATTGCACTCATAATTCAAATACTTTTTTAACTTATAAATCTCTTCTAGTGCCTGGTGCATTGACTATTCTCTTATCTATTTGAGACAGACAGAACATCTTGTTCTATTAAATTGTCATGTATAGAATATTTGTAGAGGTCATGCTGGACTTTTTTTTTTTTGGTTGATTCTAAGATGCATATATTTTACCCTTACTCATCCAAAATAGAGATGCATATTACAATTCATGGCATCCTTTTTAGTCTTAAACAACAATCAATAATTGTTGTGAGTAGACTGTGTGGAGTGGTTTGTATCAATAACTAACATTGTTGTCTATACTGTTAATCAGTCATATCAGTTCAAATGTGTTTTTCTGTGTGTTTAAACTAAACTATTTGTCATCTTGAAAGGAATTTTAGAGGTTGTTACAATGCTGCTAAGGAAGCAAAACTATTTTCTATGCAGAAGAGCATGGAAATGGCATTTATACCTTTATACTTAATTTTATTAAATTTTGTTATCTTAAAATTTACTCTTTATATAACTTGAAATTTTCTTTCAAAATCATGGTGTTCTTGAATCAAACAAATGATTTTTTGAATAAATTAAACATTTATTTACATTTATTATAAAAAGTTAATAAGTAATTTTATAAAATTTAGGTGGAATGCTACCTGTATTACAGACAACATGTCGCCAAATGATTTCTGATTCTTTGAAGAAAACATTATCTCATCAAGACTGTCAGTTTGGCAGGTTGAAAATATTCTTGTCATCAGAAGTGGTAAAAATTGATAGAAAATTGCATTCATTAGAAGTTTTTTTTTCTAATTAAAAATTCAAAGATAATTTTAAACTAAATTGGAAAAATTAGGAATATTCCCTTTTCTTTAAAACTTACTATTTAGTAATTATGTCAAAACTTAAAAAACTTATAATATTTAATTGCTTTTTTATTTTTCTGCATAGAGAAATCATAAACTGCTAAATTAATGAAGAAAAAGTATTAGAAATTCTATAATTTTTGTTTTAAGGCTATGTTAATAGTGTATTTATTTATTTATTAAGTAAATATTTAAAAAGAAACAAAAATGTTAAATTGTTTAATTTTTGATGTTAAAGTAATTTATTTTAATGTTAACAATAATTTAATATTAATTTTAAACTCTTACCTGTTTAATGATAAATGTAATCAAACTAGGATACAGGGTGTCTACTTAAGTGCTTACCCAGGAGCAAGAGAGCTTTCCAGCATTAAAAAAGTATATGGATGTGATATATGCTTATTTCAGCACTAAAATAATTGAAGAAAATTAGTTTAAGATGATTTAACATAACATATATAAATAATGATTGTTAAGGAAAAGACACTATTCCAGAAATTGATATGAAAAAGTTAATTTTATTTCATTAGAGAACATGTTCAAAACAACCACCTTAAGTGGCAATATAAAGATGTTTACAGTTGAGTTGTGTTATGGATGGTATGTAGCATTTGTTGTGTCAGTTATGGGCCTATCATATGCATCTCTCTAGTTTTCTAACATTACAGTGTTGCTAGATATGCATTTAGGTCAAGTCTGAGGAACATTAGTGACTAAGGAATGGGGCTGTTTTCTCCTATCCAGCAGTTGCCAAACCACTCTGAGCCACATCTCTCTGAGAATGAGAAAAGTATCTGTGTCAGCCTCTCATCATAAACTTCAAACTGGACATTTGGGACCAAAGCAGTCCCAATTCATTGGAGCAGAATAAATAAAATGATGGTGTTTACTATATTGCAAAACCCAGCTCATAGATGCCCTTACTCCTATGTACATGGAAATGATCAACCAGTATCAGCCATTTGGGACGATTTGGTTGGCAGGTCCACACTGTGGCAACTACCATTCTTGGGAAGACCAAGCCAAGGAGATGAGCCATTGACAAGCAAATTTGATGGTGGAACGAGGAAATACAAACAGCTGTAAAGGAGAAAGAGAGAATTGAAACAGTGGTTCTAGACAAAGATGATCTTAAACACTACAAGGTTCTAAAATCAGCAGCCAAGTACACAGTAGCAGCAACTAAAGCTGCATACTATGACTATATTTGTACAAAGAATTGGACATGCCTGTAGGGGAAAAGAAAATTTATTGTCTGGCCAATGCACATCATCAAACCACCAATGACATTGTCCAGGTCAAGCATATGAAAGATGAACACCAACAACTCCTGTGAGATCCTCATGCTATCCTTTGTCGCTGGAATGACTATTTCAAAGTCAATAATGAAGAATTTACCCACCCTCCAATTCAGATGCTGACCTAGTCTCTGGACCAGTGTCCTCAATCACCATTTAGGAGATTGAGGAGGAGGTAAGGAAGATGAAAAATGAGAAGGCAACTGGCCCTAATGATATCCCAGTGGAAGGTACTCAGGGTATCAAAATCTTCACTGACCTCTTCAATCAGATCATTAATGAAGGGGTTGCACACTACCTGCTTGGACAACCAGTACCACAGTGCTGATCTGGTAGGATAAGGGAGATGTAATTGAATGCATGAACTACTAACCAATCTGGCTCCCATGTCATGCTATGAAAATATTTGAAAAAATTATTGACTTGGTTGCAAAGAATTGTCACCATCTCTCTGAATCAATGTGTGTTTGTTAAAGNCCATTCCAAAAGATGCGTTCCAGCAGTGTTTCCAGCAATGGCAGGAACGCTGGGAGAAGTGTATACATTACCAAGGAGACTACTTTGAAGGGGATTAGGGTTTTGTACCTCAAAGTCAATAAATTTATTTTTGCCGACCAAAGGTCCGATACTTTTTGAACAGACCTTGTATATATATATAGATTACAGTATACCACCTATTCAATGCAGTCTAATGGGATACATAACAGTTCAAATGCAGCCAAATTTTGTATGCTGACATTTTAGGACATGCAGAAAAGATTTCCACAAAACCAAAAAATTTAGTTTCAGAACTCAGAATGGAAGTGGATGCTCAGTCATGGGAGGTCTTGTGAACTGATTAGGCATGTTTACCTCAATGGCACAATGAACACACACAACTGTCACATTTGGACTTCACTATATCTATATTTTATATTTTCTAATAACTCTTCATTGAATGCTTCATATCAAGTGTGTATACTTTAAAAGATGTTTATGAAGTGCAAATTTTATGATAACCTGTGTATATAATTACACATATATATAGATATAAAAAATATTTTACATTTCACATATTTAATTGATTTGTTGTATGATTCTCTAATACTTTAAGTGTTATGCATAAATTGTTACATTTGGTGCATTTCAAACATTTTTGCTAGGAAAATGATACCCACTACCTCATAATTTCTTAATGTATATAAAACAATTTCTCAAAAATATTTTGAACTTTTAATATTTTATTGAATTGAACAGTGTTTTCCAAAGTGGGCTCTGCAAATCTTTTAAAACATTTTTAAAGTTAGTTATAAAATAAACAAATAATGCATTTGATTCATTATTTTTAAGTGAGTAATTATTTATTTGAATTGGCAATACACCTCAACATGATGCATGATAAGGGCCATTTGCCCTTATCGTGTATCATGCATACAACTGACATTTCATTGAATGATTATTAATGCTTTTTTTATTATTTTTCTGTCAATTGTACAAATGTATAGCAAAAAATGCTGAGGAATTGTGAGGGATCTGCAAAACAATTTTCTTTGCTGAAGGGCTTTACTTTATCAAGTTTGGAAGTTTAGAGAACAACACAATATTTTATGAATTTTCAAACAGCACATTATCTTATCTAAATATAGGCAAGAAAACTCATTTACTAAAAAGTTTCTAGTTGAATGGTATGAGTTGAAAATACAGTAGAGCGTTGTTTATCCGAAAGCCGGTTATCCAAAACGTTGGTTAACCGAAAGCATTCCAGTCAGCAAATTTAAATTTTCGCTAGTGCTGTGGCGCTGCAATCTTTGGCTATATCTTGGGCTACTCCAATATTTTTTTTGTTGGTGTGCGTGTTTTAGCTGGCAGCANGTGTACGTGTGCTGATCTTTGTAATTATAAATTGTGAATACATGTGACTAATATTATTTTCTTTTTTATTTTGTGCATGTTACAAGTTATAAACAAATACTGTATAAACAGAAGAACACTAGCCCGATAACATTAAATCTAAATACCAAAATGATTAATTTACTGTTTTTGTTATTTCTTACTCCTGTTTTTAGGTATTCGGTATTCGGCCGAATAGTGAAAAATAGGCCGAATACCGAATAGTAACCGAATATTCGTTACATCACTAATTATCATGTTAAATACAGACACGTCATATCACATCACAAGCAACGGATCGGTTCGGCATTGATCGAATACGGAGATTTACAGATTAGTCTTCAAATATCAAAAAGGAGGACAGAACTTGACCAACCGTCCTCCTTTTGTACCTTAATATTAGCAATTATTAACCCTATTGCGTACATCTGTGACATTTAAGTACAATCAACACGTGTTTAATTAATTAATTATAAGGGGGGGTAAAAAAAAAGCATCAATTTGTGTCGTAGAAACACGTTCCTTAATTAATACGAGGAATACCAAACGTTTCAAATATTTAAAATAAAACTATTACGTGAACAACGAAATATATCGCCATTCTTTAATTTAAATAAAAATACGGCTTACCATATTAAAAACGTGCGAAACTTCCCTTATTTATGTCATATCCGGCTGCCGGAATATCCGTATCCGGTTGATCATCGCGCCATCTTTCGTTCGAAAATATTCTCGAGTACATAATTATTTTAAAACATTAAAAAAAAGAAAACGTTAAAAATTACCGTTATAAATAAAATTTAATTTCGTAAAAAACAGATAACTTATATATATTTAGTCACGTACAATCATTCGAAAATAAGAAACACTCGATAAACATTTTAAACGGCTGATAAAACCTCGATAAAATACAATTTACAGTAGAGCGTCGTTTATCCGAATGTCAGTTATCCGAAAGAATTCCAGTAGGCAAATTTAAATTTTCGCTAGTACTGTGGCGCTGCAATCTTTGGCTATATCTTGGGCTACTCCAATATTTTTTTTGTTGGTGTGCGTATTTTAGCTGGCAGCACTAGCACTTTTGTGTAGTGTTTTTCTGAGGACTGTGTGTTGTGCTGAATCAAACGTTTTTGATACTAGATTAACTTTTAAAGTATAATTTTTTTTGTTTTTATATTTTTCAATATATTTATTTTGTTTGTAAAAAATAAAGAAATAATTTTTAACGATACAATAGCCACGATTATTATTTTAAAAAGTTTACGTTAGGCTTAACATCGATGAAAATTCAACGCGAAGCGACATGCAACGGAGAAAAATTTCAACGCGGGATAGGTTAATATATTTTTTTGTATATAATCAGTTATCTGAACAACTCCAGTTCCCAATTGATTCGGATAAATGACTCTCTACTGTATATTAATCATTTTTTATGTCAATTATCAACCAAAACTATTCTCAAACAATTTGATATAAGCTGAACTATTATTAATAAATATTGGTACATTACATCTATACTAATATTATAAAGAGGTAAAGTTTGTAAGTTTGGATGTAGGAGGTAATCTCCGAAACTATTCATCTGATTTCAAAAATTCTTTCACCAATATTTAGAATGGACCTTCAGAGTGGACATAGGCCATATATTATTCCATTAAACATTCATATAAATTAAAAGATATCATCTAGGTAAGTGTTACATTTTTGGTGTAGTGGGTGGCAAGAGGCAAGACGTGTACGTATATGAGATAGGTAACTGCGTGGCACAGTTGCGTGGTTGGCAAGATATGCAGTGCATGTGTCTGAACTTGTGCTGAACGTTTGCCTATTTGTTGTCTCTTAAAGTAATGAATATCTTTTATCCCGTATGCATTCCTAAAACATTCATAAAAGATATCATCTAACTGATACTGTTATAGTCACAAACTGAATTCCACACGGGCAAAACCATGGGCACAGCTAGTATATTAAAAAAGAGTAATACATAAGACAGCTGTTAGTTTTGTATTAACTTATATATTATTTTAAAATTGCAATAATGAAATATTTTTATATACATCTAAAATAACTACCACTGTTGTAATATTATTTTGTTAATTTATTTTTACTATATTGTGTTTTAGCCTCATGCTCTTTAGGTGCTGCTCAAGCAAGTTTGGAATTAGCTCTGGAACATCTCAAAGTTAGGAAACAGTTTGGTAAACCACTTGCAGAATTTCAAGTAATCTAATATCATTATTTTTAAAATACTGTGGAGCCTGGTTAACTCAAATCGGTCGGGGGAAAAAATTTGGACTCCAAGTTAAAAAGTTATTGAGTTACAGAGGTTTGGCTAAAAATCAAAATTCTGTGCGTCAATTCATTTGTGATCTATAAAATATTTCTGTGGAATCACTGTGTCAATGTAAATCTCTCAATGCTGACCAGAAACTTGAAACGCTTAACTGAATGGGGTAAATATGCTACTGAGAAATTCTTTCCCAAATTGTTGATCTGTTCACTCCTAAGTGTTTAATAAGGATTTTTTTAATTGTGATATCTCAAGTGTAGAACTTATCTGTTTATTATTTTTTTTTATCACAAAAAACTCATTCTTTGCAATTGTTATATATTTAAAATTTTGCCACAGAGGTTAAAATTTTTTTACATGGAATCAGAATATAATTGTTTTTTAAAATAAATTTATCAAAAATCTATTTATTTATTACATCAGCCAGTTGGAAAAATCCATCAACAAAAAAAAGGGTGAGTTTGAATGCCGGTTAGGTTAGGTTAGACTGTCATCATCAGGGCTGTGGAGTTGGAGTCGGAGTTTTGGTGTTTTAACTGGAGTCGGAGTCGTCAAAAAACCTGCCGACTCTGACTCCTTTTTACTTCCCAACTTGTAATGTATATAAAATGGAAAAGTATTGGAATTGTGTCAAATTTGACCCTCCAAGTTTGTTTTGCAAATCTACGCATTTGGAGACCTCCCGAACCCCTCAAAAAAATCAATAAAAGGGGAAAAATTTGTGTGCGTTAGCGTCTAATTTATTTAATTTCTTTATTTTCTGTTCTGAGCTATTAAACAATATCTCAGAATGGGTAAAGTTTAAGAAACAAAATGTGGCACTGTAGCTTGCATATAAAGGGGCATTAATACTATTAAATTTTGGTTCTTAATTAAAGGTGGACAGGGTGAAGACATAAAAGTGGTCATGTGTCATATCTCTTAATGAATATATTACTCATTATTAGTGTTCAAAATTAAAAAGAAAATAAAATAAAACTCATCTCTACCCTCAAAATAAGCTTTTTTGTCATTTTATAATAGTAGTGTAAAACTGGTTAAGATGTTCTCGCCTACGATACTAGAATGTATATGGGGACATGATTTAGTTCAAACACTTTGACGCTTAATAACTAACTCCTATGTTAAACCATATGACTCTGATTCTAACCACTATGTCAACAGAAATTATTGGTGCTTCAAACAGGGTGAACAAAATCATGCCCCCCCCACACAGTCTAACAGCCACACATATAGAAAAAAACCTTGAATCTTTTGTATATCTTGAAATTTCAAGGTGTCCTGAGTCCAAAAATGTAAAAATTTGGGATGGGTCATTTTTTTGACTGAGTGCTACTTTCTCTCTGTTATATATAACAGCTGAAAAAGTAAAAATTATCGAATACATATTTATATATTACTTAGAGGAGTCTTATAGAATCAAAAGTTTCTACATTCTATCTTTATTAGAACTCTATTTATTGAATTTATTCTGAGGTCACGTGATGACATCAGAATTTCCAAGTCTCTTTCGGTAACAAGTCCGCTCCTGGTCGGAGTAGGTAGATTTTTATGCAACTCCACAGCCCTGGTCATCACACAACATGATGTTTATTTTTAGTCATACATGGTTCCTGCACTTTGTAGAAAGTTTGTGATTAGTTTATTCTATATTGGAACATTAATTCAAATTGGGATTTTGAAACAGTATTTTCATAAACTCTCTGGAATTTTAATTTAAATAAAATAGCTAAATAAGGTGCGTTTCAAATTTATATGGACACGAAAAAATTAAAGTGAAACCCAAATTTGCTGCATTAAGTGACAAATGTTTTATTAAAAATAACATGGATTTACATGTTTCCACACTGCAAAATAAGAATTTTAATCAAACATTAGCATTTTGTCACTGAAAATAATATTTTTGAAAATTTTGTACAAAAAAATTGTTACATATTTATCCGGACAGGCACTCATTTCATGACTTAAATAGAATATTGTTTAGTTTCAAGCATTGAAATATGCAAATCAGCTTACATATCTAATTTTAATACAAATTCTTTATGTAGTTCAATGTTCTGAAATGAGTAGAACAAAGAATTTATCTGATTATGAAAAAGGGCAGATTGATGCCTATAAATCACAAGGCAAGTCAATAAGAAAAATTGCAGCATATATAAATCATCCAAAATCAACTGTTGGTGATTATTTATCAAAAAGACGTGACTAGGATGTACCAAAATTCAAGACAAGTCCAAAACCCAAGCTTATACTTAGAGATTGAAGACAAATCATTAAGGTTTGCTCCACAAAACAAACATCAGTAAGAAAAATAAAACAAGAATTAGACTTACCTTGTAGCAGCACAACAGTGTGGAGAGTTTTAAATAAATCTCCAACGTTAAAATTCAGAAAAAAAAGCTATAATGCCACCACTTTCATTAAAGCACAAAAGTGACAGACTTGATTGGGCACAAAAATACATGACATAGTCCAAAGAATGGATTGAAGTTTCGTTCAGTAATGAAAAACAATTCATCTTAGATAGTCCAGACGGTTGAATGTATTATTGGCACGATTTAAGAACCGAAAAACAAATATTTTCAAAACACCAAATGGGTGGGGGATCAATAATAGTGTGGGGTGCGTTTGGATTCAATGGAACCACAGATTTAGCATTTATAACTCAAAGAATGAATTCAGAGAAGTATCAAGGCATGCCTGAAGATCATTTATTGGAAGCTGGACCAAATTGGATCTTTCAACAAGACAATGCCTGTGTGCATGCCTCTAAATCAACAAAAATGTGGTTTAAACGTAAAAATATTAATCTGATGGCATGGCCTACTAGAAGCCCTGACCTGAATCAGATGGATAATCTTTGGGGGATGATGGTTCGTACCGTTTATGCTAATAGAAAGCAGTTTTCCCAAAATTCATGATTCAAAGGCAGCAATTTCAGATATTTGGGATAAACTTAAGATTGAATTCCTTCAGAATCTAATTGAAACAATGCCTAATCGAGTATTTAATGTAATTAAGTTAAATGGTGGTTACATTGGCCATTGTAAGAAAACTGCAATTTGAAACCTCTCCGGATAAATATGTAACAGTTTTTTTTTGTACAAAATTTTAAAAAATATTATTTTCAGTGACAAAATGCTAATGTTTGATTAAAATTCTTATTTTGCAGTGTGGAAACATATAAATCCATGTTATTTTTAATAAAACATTTGTCACTTAATGCAGCAAATTTGGGTTTCACTTTAATTTTTTCGTGTCCATATAAATTTGAAATGCACCTTAGTTTAATAAATTCAAGTTAACCAGTTTGATTTACATATAAATCCCTATGCTGGAGATCAGGGAAAGAAAATGACTTCAAGTTAACCAGATTCCAATGTTGTATCTTTGTATATTTTTATAAAAATTCAAATTTTTTCATGTTTTTTCTATAGCATCACCAATTTAAACTTTCTCAAATGGCCACAGGACTTGTTGCATCTCGTTTATTAATCCGTAAAGCAGCACATGCTCTTCAAAATAATTTACCTGAAACTGTGTCTCTGTGTTCTATGGCAAAACTATTTGGCACAGAAACTTGTTTTAATGTATGTTATTCATTTTTTAATAATAAAAATAAGTTAAAAGAATTCACTTAAAGATGAACTATTTTCAGATTATAAACCAATCACTCCAGATGCATGGTGGCTATGGATATCTAAAAGATTATGCTGTGCAACAGTATATGCGTGATACAAGAGTTCATCAAATTTTAGAAGGTACTGTTTAACTATTAAATAACTTAATGTTTCTTTAATAATTTAAATTATCTCACTATTATTATATAGGTACAAATGAAGTTATGCAGCTTGTGATCTCCAAGGATATTTTACAAAATTAACATAAAATACAATAATATTAATTAAACAAACTCTCAGTTGTAATGACTATAGTTTTATATAAAACATTGTATTCTGAACAGAATCATGAATAAAAATTACTCTTACGAGATGATGTTTATTTTAAATCACATAAAATAATACAATAAACATGTCAGATTTACACTTATTTAAAAAAATGTGTAAATATTATAAAGATGTAAAAAAAAAAATTTTGAAATTGTATAGCCATCACATCACAATAAATATTGATAAAATTTTACAAAATATAGACAATAAAAGTAAATGAGATGATTTTTTTCCCTTTTGTAAAATAAAAGATGAATTCATGAAATGACTTCACAAATCAGCATAGTCCAAGGAAAAAAAAATCACATAATACTTGTGCTACATCATTTGGTTCATTTTTGTATAATCACATATTTAAATGGCAAACAATTGTTTGTAACTAGATATACAACATATTATTAAAATGATTAATTTTATATTATTTGACTATTTTCTCCATAAATTAAGTGTATGGATTATAATTAGTTTGTACTGTAGTAAGAAAAATGTGGTCTTTTAGACATCAAAAATTAATACAATTGACTATTGAACTGTACATGTAAAAGTGAAGGTAGGTTGAATGATTATCATCCAACCAAGGATCAGATATCAAAAATTATTATTTTTTTTAAGAAATACACTTTTCTTCTTTCTACTTCTAATGTATTTTATAGCATGCTTATATTTCTACAATAATAATAGATTTTTTTTCTTATTTAAAACTAAATACTTTAGTGAAAACGATATTGCCGGGCAGGTTTTAGTGTAACATATGTTTTTTTCATGTCTTCAGATTCCTCTGTTTTGACTTCGGAATATCTTTCGCCCTTCACACTGACTATCTTATTATCTCTGTATCTTATCAATTTTTTGGGTTCCTAGGCAAAAAAGAAATTATTAAAAAAATTTATCAGACAAGTGACAATTGGTTGAGATAAATGTGATACAAACGGATTTTGGGGCCACTGGTTTGTGCTCCCGAGCATCATCATCCTTATCTATGTATGCATATCTATAAAGAGGAGTCAACTGAAATGATTTCCAAATAACATTATTTATCAATGTTTTTTTCTTACCTGTTTAAAATTTGTTCTCTGAGTTCTTTATCCTGTAGAAAGTTATCCATACATTTTCCAGGTTTTGATTTCTGCTGGTTAAGTTTTGGTTTATGAGTTACTTCTCCATTATCCTGTCTTTGCAGAAGTAATTGTGCAGCTTTTTGGCAATCTCCACCAGTAAGACTAATGCAATGCTGAATTTCTAATGTACACATATGTGGAAACATTTCTGTTAACAATTTTATTTGATCATTCAAATTTGTTATTGTTTCATCCTGAAATAAGTTTTTTATAAAATTATGAAATTAAAAAATTTTTTAAGTTATTAAAATAATGATAAAATAAACACTTGCAGCAAATTGGTTTGATTGTTTAACTTCATCCTCTGACTGGCTTGCATTACTGCTGCATGAACATATACTAGTATCATCAGAAGAAATATATGGAATCTCTTCACTCATATCCTTATTTTCTGTTCTCACAGCAGATTCTAATGATAAGAGGAATTCTGGTTTTGTGTTTGTTTTCTGAAATGAACTCATTGTTTTTCCATCTGAAAAAAATTTATTGAGTGATGAAATGAATGTACTGATAAACAAAAATATGTTTAATAAAATATTAACCTTGTTGTTTTGCCAACCATGATGCTAACTGAAACATCCATTCACATATTGCAGTGCTAATAAAAATGTACAAATAGTATTAGAGCTATTCTTATATTCAACTCAGATTTTAGAATAAATAATTTTGTAATCAAATTTACCTATTAATCTTTGAAAATGCAGGGAGATAAGCACTCATCATTTCTGAAAATTGGTCTACATCAAAGGCATCGTCTCCTGTTTCTGTTGCTAATGTTTCCAGAATACCAACCACATAACTTAAAACAATTTCATCAATAGAACTGAAAGAATTATTAATTGCAATTAATATTTTGATGGAAATAAAAGTTTAAAATTGTTCAAAACATACCTGAGAGCATCCTGTCTTGTATGTTGAAAAATAAATTTACTGAGAGCTTCTTTTACTAACGTATCTGTACTACCAAGAACACCAGTTTCTGTACTATTCATGTCCTACCTCAACAGGAGGCTAAAATAAAATATTTAAATTAATTATAAAGTATTAAAACAAAAATGTTTTTTGATATATAAATTTAAAGATTGGGATCATGTAATGAATTTCATAAAATGGTTATTAAAAGAATTACAAAAAGTCTGGTCCTGTCTGGTCCCACAATGCTTGATGGATAACAAATCTGAAGACCAGGCAAGTCAAAGAGGTATGGCAATGTGTCAGATAATCCATGGAAACCCTAGCTGTGTTTGGATGAACATTATCTTTCTGGATGGTTGTTTGTAATGAAAGGCAACATATGGAGGCATGGGATTCCCTGAATGCATCACTGTGCCATCAATATCACTTGTACCATTAGTAGGGGTAACTGACTGTCATATGAGATGGCTCCCAAGACTAGCATGCCAGCAATAGGATTAATAGGCTGCTCAACAGTAAAGGAAGGATTAAAGCACTCACCAATGGTCCTCTGCCACTCTAACACAAGTAGAATTGGAATTTGTCACTAACATTATTCTGTTTGTCCCATGTTTCTGTTATGGTCATTGCAAACACCGCTTACTACCAGCCATTACATGGCTTACTGGCACCACTGCAAACAAAGCTGATGTTGAGATGATAATGGCACATATGTAATAGTTTCTATTTATGCAAATTTGCTTCTGCTAGTCACTTACCAATTGTACAAGAAGGGACAAGTGGAGATGGTAGACTTGTTTATGCTTGTCTCATGATCAGATTATCATCAATAGTCACTCTGAAGCATCCAGAGCCTGCCAAACCATGATGTATGTCTACATGTACTCACTGCCCCAAACACCACCTTACAGTCTGGTAAGAATGGCTTAGACAGCAGGTAATTCAGTGAAATGGCCAATCTGCTTCCTTCACTCCAAATTTTGTGGCTTTTCTCAAACTCTGTGAGCTGTACTTAATGTTTGACTGTGCCATACAGGCATATCTAGCATTCAGAGATGTGAGGTCCAGTAAGGATCCTATGCTTGCCTTAACTCCTCCATGCCAAAAAATTGATTAATAAAAAAATGTAAACAGACAGTAGAACTACAGTATCTGTCATTTGACAAAGTTAAGAGTGACTTCAAATTATAATTTGAATAACAGTCAAGAAAAGGTATACACACCTTTTGATTTAAATGATATGAGTTTCCAAGATCAGTAAACATCTCCAGATGGGATTGGAATGTAGTATTAACCTTTACCATCCATGCCTAAGAGGGTCTTGAATTTCCCCTGGAAACAGGTGAACAACCAGTCAGGATATGAGGATTGATCAATTAGGATGTTTGATTGGGGCAAATCTTATAAAAATTGTGTCCCAAGGACACAGTTTTTCAGTCATTATGTCCCCTGTGAGAAGGATACAAACCATTTCATTTGACATTTGGATTTTCTGTGGTCACCTTTCTCCTAATCACCAACTTGTTGTTTCTCATTCTGTACATTTGTGACTTTCCTCACCTTTTGGACTATCTTTTGGAGCTCTGAACATGTTCCAAACTTTCATCTACAAAATAACCCATAATGAACTCCATTGTGAACTGTAATATGGTATTGTGACAATGAATGGTGTTCAAAAACGGAAATAAGTCATTCCTTCCTTCCAAACTATACCTCCCACATTAGTGACCTTTCTGACCAGTCATCCAGATCTTCCTCAAATTTCAATTCCAATGCTTCAAGTTTCAATATATGTGACATGAGAGTTACGTGATCCTCACAAAGATCTCTAAACAACAAGTACACTAAAAATTCTGGACACAGTGAGCCTCTGTGAATCTTTATATGATACTTGGGTAACAATCTTAAGACAATCTGGTGGGATTACCTAGATCAAATGCAATCATCTGATCAAATTCTGGTTGCATTTCATAACAAGTGTATTTCTAAAATGTTCAATTAACAGATTAACAATCAAAAACTAAGAAATTTATGAATGAGAACAAGATTGATATTATTTTTAATAAGTGGAAATGATTCACAAATAGCAATGGCATATATGCTTTGAAAATGTTCAAGAGAAAATTTAAATTTCTATTTCCAAATAGAGAAAATAATATACTCAATGATAAAATACCTTGTTAATAAATTTATTCTGGAACTATTTTCTATGCTATTGTGGTAGAATTTATTCATATTTTTATATTGTGCCAATAATCACATATTTTGCCTTCAAAATTAGTTTCAGACTGTGCCTGAGTTGATATTTGTTCATATGATTTTTTATTTTATTTTAATTTTATCAAAGATTAATTTTATATCTTTACTACAGTAGAGCGTCATTTATCCGAAACGTCGGTTATCCGAAGGAATTCCAGTCGACAAATTTAAATTTTCGCCAGTGCTGTGGCGCTGTAATCTTTGGCTATGTCTTCGGCTACTCAAATATTTTACGTTTTTGATACTAAATTAACTTCTGAAGTATAATTTTTTATTGTTTTTATATTTTTCAATATATTTATTTTGTTTGTACAAAATAAAAAAATAATTTTTAACGATACAATAGTCTTTGTTAGGCTTAACATCGACGAAGATTCAACGCGAAGCGATACGCAACGGAGAAAAATTTCAACACTGGATAAATTAATATATTTTTTCGTACATAATTGGTTATCCGAAAGATAAGTTATCCGAACAACCCCAGTCCCCAATTGATTCGGATAAACGATGCTCTACTGTATTTTGTTTAAAATTTTGTTAACTGGTCTATTTTTATGAATCTTTGAAATTCTTTTTTTTTAAAAACTCTTTCCACCCTGTGGGCACTAAGAGTGCCTCTTTAAGCAAGCCCATTATGGGTTCAGCTAGGCCCACAATGGGACAGCCAGGTGGTGAGGGACAGGGCTTAACATATCCGGGTGGATCACCCTCTGAAAAATTTCTGGGGATTTATTGATCCGTCGGAATTTGAACCAAGGTCCCCTAGAGCGCCTTGCCCGCTTGGCCATCCGGCCATCTAATCTTTGAAATTCAAAAAGGAATACATAACTGTTGAAAAACTTAAATGATTTGAATAGAGATGCAAATATATATTAACTTATTTTGGGTATGGTATTTCATCTAAACATCAAATATTAAGACTGTTCCAAAATAGATAAGGTATACAAAGTTCCAAGGAGCTTTTGGCTTACCTTATCTATTTACTATTGGAGAATCTACAAAAAGCATTATATACTAACTATGACTTTAACTAAAAACCTAGTAGAAAAGAATTGAGAGATTTGTCAAGGAGAGAGGAGAGCAAATCAATTTGTTAAAATCCGAACAATTAGAAGATTTGATAAAAATTGCAAATAAATTTTTAAAATTTACAAAATTTTAAAAAATTTAGTGAAAGATGGGGTGACCACAATGATCTAATGATTTTTGCATCAGATAAAAGGAAATTCCTACTGCATTAAGATAAATATATAAGAAATAGTTACTTAAATATCTTTAATTCACAAATTTCACAATGCTCAGTAAAGATCCAATAAATTCTCTAACATAATAAAATAATAAGATATAGAGTAAAGCTAATTTGTTTCTTAAACTTAATTTTAGGATATTACCAAAATTGTAACTTCTTACTATAACTACATAAAAACTCATGAGGAGGATATTATTAAAAAACAGCTTAAACAGAATATTCAGTATATGTTTTAGACTATATATATTTTTTCGTTCCTTATACTTTTGAATTCATTAATTCATGCATTGACATTATGGTTTATGTATAATAAGCTAGATGCAGGAAGCTATATATGATTCTGTTCTATTTAATTAATATTATACTCTCACTATTTTTTATTTGAAGATAAAAAGCACCTTTAAAATCACTAATTTAAAGGAACTTGTAGAGCTGATTTTGAATTTTGGCAAAATACTTCTGTTCTGTAAAAATTATTATAAAAAATGTTTTTGTGCATAATGATTTACAAATTTCTAGTATATAATTTAAATAGTGAAATTTTGGTTAAAGATTAATATTGTAATTTTGCAAGGAAAAACTAGCCACTTTAGTTAATTTACTGAAATATGCAATGCATCTATAATATTGGGTGAAGCTGGAGAAATATTAACATTTTCATTTTTGACCTGTTAACCAGTAATACCAATCCAGGCAGTCAGGAAGTCATCGTTTCTGCACAGCACAAGTCTCATGTCTTCATCTGAGATCAAAAGTCTAAGATTCAAATTGTTCAAATATTGTGCCACCAATCTCATGTCTTTTCTGGATGGAGATGCAGTGCATGGAGAATTTGCACCAGAAATCTTTGTGAACCATAGAGTTCAAAAGTTTTTGATCCTCTCTTACCATACATTATCCTCTTCATCTGCAATATTTTGATGATGTGCTACTGGCATGGGAAGGCTCTGATGAAGAGTTACTAGAGTTTATACAATCACTGTTGGCCATTTTTCTGACTATTTCATTTATCTGTTTACCAGGTCAAAAATGTTAGCTTTTCTCCGAATTCACCCTTGTAAAGGTGCATTGCTTAATTCAGTGTTGTAATTTTTTTAAGTAAAAAAATCTTGTATTTTGGAAAGTTTTATGAAATTATATAGGAAAACAAGTTTTATAAAAGCACATTTTTAGAATTTGATGGTAAAATTTACAATTTGTAAAATATCAATTAAAAGTATTGTATAATTACAGATATGTCAAAAAAAGGACAACTAATAGGTGATCAAAAGTCTGACATACATTTTGTTAGAAGTATGGTAATAAAAAACTGTTTTTGAGATAAATCAGGAATTTGTCACAGATCATATGTTCAAAGCAGCAAAGTTTGCTAAGCTTTTCAATGAAAACTGAAAGAAAAATATGGCTCTAGAAATGAAGTGACATCTGTTGCTGACTTCTTTATTTAAACAAATTAAATTAAAAGTCCTTACATTATGAAATCTTTTGTAACATTTTGTTTAACGTTTTTTAAAATTATTTCATCATTAGATCTTTCAGATCTATTCTACTCATTCTCTTTGATCAGTGCTTTGATTTTTAGTAATTTTTCAAACTGTCTATGTAACATTAAAAGTGAACATAAAAATAAGAGTAAAAAGAAAATGTTAAAATATAAAAGATCAGAGTACATAGTCATTCAACAAGTGCACATATCCACATATATATTATAGCACCTTCTGATCTCTTATTAAGCTGCTATTTATGTGTCATCGTAAGTTTTTCTGCTGTTCTAAGGAGGAGATGAAAATGGCATAGTAGAGAAGCCTCATTTCATTTTTGATTTGTCAAACATTCAACTTTATTATGTTGATAATGTTCTCATGAATTTTAGTATAAATGCTACATTATTGATATTAGAATCTTGTTTACTTGTCAAATTCTCCTTTTATATGAAAAGTGGGAAGAAAAAGACAAAACTAAACAAGTTACTAATATCAATAATATAAAATTTATGCTAAAAATTATAATCTATAAATATCAAATAAATAATAATATGATTATCATAGTTTCCTGCTAATACTTTGCAGATTATATGTTAAAAACATCAATGGTATGGATATAATCTGCAACAATTTTTCCACAACATCAAAAAATGATTCTAAAATTATTTTACATTTTTTTGTCTTTTTGTCAAAAAGTCTTCTTGATGTGATAAAATATGATAGAGTGTCTTGTTATTTACTTATCAAAGATGCCTAAAAGGCAAGTAGAAATGAATGGAATATAACATTTACATGTATGTTTCCCCTGTAATAGACATCTCCAAGCCAATCTTCATTTAAAAAATGTTTTACCCCTGTGATCAAAAAGTATCGGGAATGGTTCAATAAAACACAAGATTTGAATTTATTCATCAAAATTTATTTCAACTCTTCAAAGTAATCCTCTCCCACTGCAACACACTCATACAAATCTATTTTCTAATCCTCGAAACATGCTTTAAAAGTCATTTTCGTGAAACCACTTTAGGACTTTCAGCAAATTTTGTTTTGTGGCATCGACTCAAAACAGGACCACAAAATGGAAATTTTATTTGAGGAAACAGGAAAAAGTCATATGGTGCCATATCAAAAGCTTGTGGAACCATATCTGTTGAATTTTTGGCCAAAATTTCA